TCAGGTGCCTTGCATGCCGCATGGCCCACATGGCCCACACGGCCCACACGGCCCGCACCCACACATCCCGCCCATGCCAGGGTTTGGCCTCGGCGCAGCTTCCAAGAAAAGCATATGGGCGCAATGTCGGACTCAAAACCAATAGCAAAAAAACAGAAATCCCCAGGCATCTTCATGGAGCTTGTTTCCTAAACAGTACATCATGCTCAATGAGAAGATGGGGGAAGCGACATTGAGGCACTGGCATGGACCGCAAAAGACCGGGGGGCGATGGCAACTAAAGGGCGTGGCTGAACATTGCAAGCGAATATGCTACGGTCTCGCGGCATACGCTGAGCAGTTGGCATCATCGGCCGCTGCATCATGGGCTGCTGCATCATGTTCTGCTGCATCATGTTCTGCTGCATCATTGGCTGCTGCATCATGGGCTGCTGCATCATATTATGCTGCATCATGTTATGCTGCATCATTGGCTGCTGCATCATGTTCTGCTGCATCATTGGCTGCTGCATCATGTTCTGCTGCATCATCGGCCGTTGCATCATGGGCTGCTGCATCATGTTCTGCTGCATCATTGGCCGTTGCATCATTGGCTGCTGCTGCATCATTGGCTGCTGCATCATTGGCTGCTGGATGCCGCCCATGCATGCGTGCTGCATGCCGCCCAACGAACCTTGCTGCATGCCACCCATAGAATCTTGCTGCATGCTGCCGCCCACTGGTGGTTGTTGCGTGCCGCCCATTAGTGATTGCTGCATGCCGCCTATCGATGGTTGCTGCATGCCGCCCATAGAACCTTGCTGAATGCTGCCCATTGGCACACCGCCTCGGTGGATGAAGCAAATGCTACACAGTCAAAACCCCAAACTCGGCAGATGGCAAAGCTGCTTTCCTGGGGACCGGGCGCACGGCCTCGCGAGCTGCGAGCTGCCAGAAGAAAACTTGCTTGCTCCCGCCCCACTTTCGCTTCCATGAAGTCATGTTCTCATTTCCTGAGTGGATTGGTCAGAAGTCCAAGCTTTGCGTTACACAAAGCATGCCCTCCAGGAACTCGGAAAGTGGATGCTTGCAAAACACAAGCCATATTTAAATATTTGTCAAACGACATGGGGTGTCACCCTCCCTTCACTCTATGCAGGGAGTATGTCTATCTTTGAACCCTCTGAAGAAATCCCTCTGGGCGACCTGTTCGTGTCAACACCAGCGGGATCCAATGATTGGAATGTGCTTGGCCCAAAGCACAGCAAACAGCAAAACATGTGCGGCCTGTATTAACCACTATCAGGCACATCCACAAATGGCCCGATTCACGCACCCTCTTTGCAGTGATTCAAGGCATCGAAAGTGCAGCACGACAAGCACATCTGAGTCGGGAATCCACTCTCTCCACGGCCCGCCAAACTTATGCCGCATCACATTGCTGGGCTATGGCAGGCAGGTAAGCAGAGCAAAGCAAGCAAGCGAGCAAGCAAACAAGCAAGCAAAGAACCAACTAAGCAAGAAGGCTAGTCAGCTAAGCAAGCGAAGTCCTTGATCGGCATGTGTGATCACCGAACCCTGCTTGAGGCAGACGCAACACCAAAACAGCCTGAATATCGAGGGGTTCGACCAGCTGCATCAAGTGAAGTCTGCAGCCGTCAACATTAACTTCATGGACGTCTCATTCAATGGGGGAGCGCGATGTGACCTACCAAGGCTCAAATTGGCAGCAAACCAGCATAAACCGCGTTCATAAATATGCTATATTGATCTCCCCCTGAAACAGCCCCTTGTTTCAGCCCCGGCTGGGCGTTGCATCTTGGCACCCTTCAACTTTCAAAAGAGTCGCAAGAAACTGAAGATGCACCAACCCATCTTTGGGCTCCCCTACTGCCCGTGACTTATCCTTCTGCTTCGTCACTTGGCCCATGGACAAATCCCAAGGCCTGGGGTGGCTGGGGTGGTGGTGGAGCCGGCGGCCTGCGGAGAGGCTGAGACTTTCCAGTGCCTTGGGATTTGCTTTACTCACTTCTTGGGGACCTGAACATCAAAAAGGCCAACTCTTTGGAACCTCACCTGAATCTGGACCAAATACCTCAGCATTCATCATGCTTGATTCAGGTCAATCTAGCAAAATTCTAAATGAACAAATCCGAGATGCCAGCGAAGGGGTGGGTCTTCTTTGCACCCACTGTGGGGTTGCTTGAAATGGCAGCTGAAGGCGAACAAACCATTTTCGGTAAGACAAACCCAAATGAGAACAGTTTCAGACCCCAATTGAGTCACAATGATTAAGCAAGAAAAGAACATGAAATCCAAGTCATCGCCTAAACGCCGAACGGTCTTTCTATTGTCCGCACCTAAGCCGCCAACCCAGATGCCGGTGAAGAAACCAGAAGTTGACCAAATCGCCACATGCGATTTGCGCTACTTCACAAACGCAAGGAGCGGGTCATCTTTCTATGGCTTCATCCATCCAGCTTTGCTGCACAAAAATTCAAATCCCTCGATTGAAGTCAGCCGAAATGGTCTAACGCCAGCAAAAGGGAAAGGGACATTTTGGGAGCCCTGTCCGCTAGCTTGGGACCTTCTAAAGGCTTGCCTCTAGCTTCCCTCAAGCATCATCTCTTCCAAGGGGATCTCTTTTTCAATTGGAAACCCAAACAGCGATGTCATGTAGAATACGATATACATGTATACATATTTATACGTACAAATGCACATACATGCGCTTGTGAATAACTATCACTTGGGTTGGCACTTCCCGAGATGTCAAGAGACACATGGGGACATATTTGTTCCTCGTTGAGCTCCCCTGCCTGGGCACTTGCGCGGGCCGTGCGCCCGGAGGGCTGGCCTGCAAGCGGTCTGTGACGCTACAGACCCAAGGCTCCCGCAGGTGTTGGCTCTTGACACGTGTGCTCTCCCTCGGTGGAAGTAAGGCCAAGAACCTGCCAAGTATGACCCTGATCGTTGGCGACGGGGGATGTTTGGGAGGATGATTTGGAGTACAAACCCCTGGTACACACCCACCCAGGGACTTACAAACATGGCAGGTGGGATGTATGCGGGGTCACTGCCTTAGTAAGTAAGCTGCCGTTTGGAAGTAGGACCTCTGCAGCCATGAACGTACTTGGTCCCAAACTACAAAGAGCATGATCCCTTTTTGCTTGGACCATAAGTGCGCGTATGGATCCAAAACCAGATGGTCAACTCGTGGTAATGACAAGGGGCCTGCGAATTTGCTTGATTTTTTTAGGGTCACGACAATCAATAATGGTTCTAAAACCAATTCATCAACTGGATATTGTTGCAAACAACCGCCAAAAAAAACACTGCAAACAAAAACATCCATCGTCAACTACCTTCACCCCGAGACTTTGAAACAATGAGTGCGCAGGCCTCCATATGAAGGTTGGAGGTATCTAATGCTGGCTATCGCACCGGGACCCGGGCCGCTGCGCAATGCGGCAGGTGTCGCGCCTCGAGCGAATCTACCCTCCACAAGAAAACATGAAGGTAAACAGTTGTTTTTTGACCCTGCTCGGGAAAAGGGATTGGGACACTTCAGAAGGGGTTTTACACTTCTGGGGACATTCTGAAAAATTGTTGAGGTCTCCAACAGCAAAAAGCGAGTCAAACATTGCTGACAGGTTGGAAGCCATTCCCCAAAGTTGCCCAAGGGAAGCAGTCCCAATGTCAAGTCGCTCTTCTGCGCGCAAGAAAGTCGAGCCTGGTGAGCAAAGAAAACTACAGTTTCCCAACCCTCCTGGGTTTGTGCATCTTCCGCGATTCGCAAGACGGAGTTAGTACTTTTGCGCCCCACTCCGCAGGCAGCACTGCCTTTGGCGGACTTTTCAACAGCGCGGAGCAAGCACTTCAGGTGGGAGTGCAAATTGGAGCTCCTTACAGAGGCTCAGCGATCTTCCAATCTACCCCCAACACGTTGGTTTCCCATTCAGCTTTCCTTGAAAGCAAGTTGAGAAGGCCTGGAACACCACACGCAAACAACCGTGCATACATACACAGACACACATCTTACTTCCCAAGTGGATTGGCTAAACAAAGTTGAAACCTTGTGTTTATCCCTAAAATGGACTTTAAAAAAGAAGACGAGCAACCAGAAACTCCGGGAGATTCATCTTACTTTCCGTGTGGATTGGCCAGACAAAGTTCAAACCTTGTATTTATCCCTAAACATGGGCTTCGCAAAAGAAGACAATGGAACCAGAAACTCCGGGAGTGAGACACCCCGATCTGAGAGCAGGGCCCAGCACCAGGTCAAGAGGAGGCTCTCCCCTGGTCCTTCCCTTAGGTCAATGCGCACGGCGTCAAGCTGAAATGTCCGTCAAACAAAGGGGCAGTGGGGATAACAGGTTGGATATACCTGAGTCATGTGCCGTATCTGATGTACCCCAGTACGGCCTTCAGCGGCTCGAGCCGTTAAGCTCCGGGCAGCTTGCCCTGTATCAGCTTGTGACACCTCGGCCCAAGAGAACAGTCTACCTAGGGCTTGAGGTACATGCCTCGCGCAATAGCCGGGGAGAGGAGGGCAGAGCACACCGTTCTGGACGGTGTTTATGCCAAAGGTCTGAGAAATGCTCCATCTGAGCTGCGTGCATGCCCTCCAGGATCAGCAAGTGACCTTAGGAGCCCAAGCTGCCATTTCGGCCAACCTCTGCATCCTACATGAGGTGCCCCTTGGGTTGCCCACATGGAATGCGAAACTACGTAGTAGGTACACAAAGGATATGAAAAGTACACATGTATACATAATATATATATATATATATAAAAATATGAATACATATTGCATATACCCTTCCCACTAACATAGCATTTCTTGGAGGGCATCTGGACAAGCATTGCCCTCTTGCACGGCGTGCAATGTTAGTGGGAGGGAGGGTTTACGGTGTATACATTTATATATGCAAATGCATTGCCTGTTCACAAAGCAACATGTTTATTTTCTTGCGCTCTCTCATGTCTCAGGCGCACCTGGCACTGAACACATGGAGGTGGTCCATTCCCTTGTGGTGTTCTGGTCGTAGGGGGCGCCTTTGTTTCCCTGATTGTCAAAGGGAAAACCCTGCGGGTTCCCAAACAAGAGTTGGTGCCCGGAAAAGGAAGCATAGGTATCTCTCAACACATATTTCTTCAGGGAATGAGCATTCTGAAAGGAGCCCAAACCAATACTCAGCTAGTTCATAAACGTCATTATGGAGCAACACCGTACTGAATAGCTCAACGGAGACTCCGGAAACGCACGTTTGATTTCTTCGTCCTGTTTGAAACCCTTACCTGGAGCTGGCCGTGTAGCATATTTGTCCAGCCCGGAAACAGGGAGCTGACTTAGACAAAGGTGAAAAGCAGGGACTCTGCTTGGACACGCTTTGACCCCTGAATCGTTGTGGCGATTTCCGCTAAAGAACTCCTCTTCGGCCGTGCGGCGGCGCTCTCAGTGATCATCCTCGAACTACCTGACCATCCTTTCAGCCTTGCTATAAACTCATGAAACCAGGCAGTAGGACTACCTCCGACGTGGGGTTTGGGCACGGTTTCCCTGCAAGAGGCCTATATGCTCCGCCCCTAAACTTCCCGTGGCTTTTCCAAAAAGAGCTGCAGTAAGAAACAAACCCAACATGGGGCCGGTGTCGGGGAACTTGGCGGTGAAGCTCGGGTCACACGGAAGCAGGGAAGGCTTCATGCTGTGTACTGTTTTTACATGTGGGGGGTTGTACAGCATACTTTGCCGGGGGACGCCCCAATCTCCGACCAATCGCGATCCCACAAAATCCAATCGCGGAGCGTTGGGCATCGCTGCTGCTTCTGTTTCGAGTTTCGCCGTCTTATCTCATGCAAACAGGAAGGAAGTGACGTAGCTTGGAGGGGCTCACTTAATGGTGGAACTCGCCCAATCGCGGTCCAATTGTGGTCCAATCGCGGAATTGGGCGGTGAAACCTCGGTTTGCGCTTGGCCGCAAGCAGATTTGGAAAGCATTGTCTGGCCCTGCACAAACGAAATCAACATTCAGGACTCCACAGGAAAACTTTTGCTGGAGCCCGCGCAGTCAAAATCAGCGAGACGTGTGTCAGCACCATGCAACGTCTAAACTCATAATAAATGCGTTACCCTTTCGCGGCTTTCGCGGCTGGAGTTTTGCCAATCGCGGAGTTTGACAAGTTGCTGCTTTCATACATTTTAGACATGCAAGTACGGACGGCCGCCATGTATTGATTCGAGAATGCAAATGCGGCGTTGCATTCATCAGGTGCATGCATCAACAATGCAGGGATTCCTGCAATTCTCACCGTGGCCCCTCTTGCCCCAAGTGAGTTCCGTGCCATCAGAGAGGTCTTGGCTGCTGGGGTTCTCACCTGGCGATCCCAAGGCGCCTGTTTGTGTGGGTGCCTGCGGAGTCGTCTAGCATGGGTGGCTCTTCATGGCTGCGTGCTGATTTCTTGGGGGGGGAGGGGGATGGGGGTGGCGGAGGGGATCTCCAAATCGATTGGGAGGAACCAAGAAAAAACGAGGAAGCAGGTTCAGTGCTCTGGTTCTGTTTGCATTGAAGTTCAATTCGGACCTCTTGCGATTTGGAGGCAGCGCCACCAAAACAAAAAAGGTGAAGGAGCCATGGCATGATTCCTCGCTATCACAAACCTGGTGTTTTTGTTGCAACCTCCTCATTCCGACAACCCCAAGTGACAGATACCGGCGAGAGGCCCGTTCCGATGGGAAATATGCCCGTTTGTGCCCATGCTGGAATCTGTCGTGTAAAGGCAAAGGGGCTGGTACAGACAACGAGCATTGGCAAGAACACCCTGGCACAACAACTCGCACTATTCTTTGGCCTTCTTTGCGAGTACATATGTCCACTTGCCCAAAGACGATCAATTGAACGGTGCGGATATGTGCCGATACTGGAAAACCCAGAGGTCAGGGCCTGGGAGGTCAGCACAGCGTCTGCGATGCTTCACGAAATGGGTTTCGAAAGGGAAACTGCAAAGGAAACCGGGACAACTTGCAAGCACTTCCGCGACAGGAGCCTGGCTTTCAAGACGAATTCTTCCTTTCAAGGGGATTGGCTACCGAAGTGGGGCTTCCTAAGGAGGAGAGTCTTTCCAGATTCGAAGGAGGAGAGTCTTTCCAAATCCTTCTGTCAGCTTCCATGATTGGAAAGAAGGTACATTTGTCTGAAAGCAAATTGCCCGCTTCTCCCGCTTGGGCTTAGTCATGCCAACCGACTAATCTGGTTTCGCCCTGGAGGGTCCAAGCCCAAGGCCCCGGCCGTTTGGCTTGGCACCTCGGAGACAACGAACATTGGTCAAAGGTCCTTAAGGATCTACATCCAACAAATGACCTTTACGAGTCAGGCGTCAGATTCAGTGATTCAGCTCTGTTCGGTGACCCACATGCATCATTTAATGGGCCCTGCTGGTCTGATTCAAAGTTCGCTGGATTTGCACTTCAGTCTTGCTTCCGACAGCGGCACCGTTTGCAACGCGTGGGTCACTCGAAAACGGTGAGTGGGGAAATTGATGCTTACTTCGAAGGCACATCACCAGGAATTGACTCGTGCAAAAGAGACCAGTACCTATCTGCTGGATGTGCACAAGGGGCCCGCCAAAGATCACCATCATCCATCCACTTGAGGTTTGGCTTCGGGGAAATTCAGAATGTGTTAAATTCCGGTTAAAACCCTCTCTCTTGGCCGGAGGGAGCTAAAACCTTTCGATGTGGAACACCTTGCCACTGCGCTCAACGCTCGCCGAATGCCAAGGCACACAGCTCCACGCGCCGGGGAGCGCCCAGCAGAAGGGAGATGGAGAGAGCATCCTTGGCAGCGTCCTGTGGCTCGCGATTCTGAACAGGGCAAAAAATCCAGAAAAATAAAGTTGGGCGAAGCAACAAACAGCAACCTGGAATAGGAAATGTGCCAAGTCAATAACTTTCATGCCCTCAAATCGGGCATTGCAAGGGCAGCAAGCAGGATCTGTGGCGGCGCCAGCATGCGTGAGCCTCTGCAGCATCAACAGCAGCAGCACAAGCAAAAAGCAGTCAGCTGGATTTCAACGAAAACCAAAAGACAAAAACAAGTGTGACTTCAGTTTGACAAGCCAGCAGCACGCATGCCAACCTGTTGACCCGGGTTTTACTGCTGTTTTAATATGATAGTCATGAATCATGAAGGTTCATGCAATTTCCAACTTTGAGAGGGAACGAACCAAACAAACAGAAATTCAAAGGGTGCCTATGAACAACTGTCTCCTGATGTGTGTTCATGGCGCCTTTGCTGGGAATCTTTGCATTGGTTGTCAAAAGCGATCCAACAAACCAGCATTGCAGGGTTTTGTAACCATCCCTATCCGTACTGACCCCACGTTTCGACCACGGGCCAAGGCCAGGTGAACCACATGCGCCTGCCAAGGACCCTCCGGCAGCGTTTCCGCGCCGCCCTGCGTCGCAGGAAGTTGTTGGGTCAGCCGCTTGACGGCTGGCCCTTTGGTTCCGTGGACCCCGATTTCAAGGCAGGCTTCGTGATACTAAACGCATCATGATGCGTTTGAAAGGAACATGCCTTGAGTCAAGACTCGGAAAACCACTGGCGCCACGGATCCGGGTTTGGGGCTCTATTTCCCCCAATGCTTCTCTTCCCGCATCTGTGGCAACCTGAGCGTGCTAGTTTGGGTCACTTACAACTAAAATCCTTTCCAAAACAACTTGAGAGAGGGCAGACTGAAAGCTGACACTGGTTGCCAACAGTGCCAGCGCTGCCTTTTATCACCGGTCTGCCTTAAAATTTTGACTGGTCTTCGTAGGTATTCTCCCCCACGCCTGTGAACAGGAACGTGGAAGAGGAACGGAAAGCATACGCTGGCAAGATGTCATGACGGTGGGAAGCAGTCCAAACCAGCAACATCGAAATGGTAAGCCATTGCACGTCTGCACAAACGGAGAAGCAATGCATCTGGGCAATGTGGGACGGCAGCAGACTTCCAGCCAGGACAGGGCGTTAATCAACGGGTCCCCCCTTCCCCCTGTGCCCCAAATAAGTGACAAATGCGTTTGCTGAACCCTCCATTTTGCGGCAACCTCCAGCAAAGCATATTCGAAGCCAGCTTTCTGGATAAAATGAACCTTCCAGATAGAAACCATAGTTGTCTGATCCCCCCTGTGAGGTGGATGATAACAATGCTTTTTGCCGAGAAAAGTTGCATTGGCCGTTGATCACGTGGACTGGAGCAGCAATCTGCTGAAAACAAGTGCACTCGCTAAAGCATGAGGGTTGGAGGAGCCAAGAAATGTGGCAAAGGCTAGCAATGCTACTGCAGCGTTTCGCTATTGAACTTAAAACCGATGACAGTCCCAAACGAAAGGCTTCCTTAACGGATACATCCAAGAGCCACCCGCTTTTCAAGGGGATGTCTAAATCAGTTGGTACCAGTGGAGGTGAATGTTTGAGTTCCCCAATGTGTCCTTGAAGCAACCCCGCAAACCCACATGCGTTCTCAATACGTGCATTTGGTGTTGGTGTCTGGGAAAACCACTTTGCAAATATTAAATCATTCTCAATTTCAGAGAGTGGCGGAAGGCGTGGCCGCTTGCATTAAGACTCGCACCTTGCAGAGACAAGGTGACATGTGCCAAAGATGGGCATACGCCCAGCTTGCTTGGCTTGGAAAGCAAGTGAGCCGCCGCCCAAACCCTTACATGTCAAACTGGAATCTCTGAATCCTTGGTTTTAACAAAATACTGGCAATCGTTGTTGCTTATCCTTGGGGGTTGGGTCATGTAATCTTGTAGTCTCCCCCCGTAGTCTTCCGGTAGTCTTCCTAAAGTCTTCCCGGAGTCTTCCCGTGTGGTCCTGCTGTGTCTGCGGTTACTTCTCATCTATCTATCCTATACTTTGAAGACCCGATACTCATACCAAAACTTCGTGCAACATGGCTTGGACTGCGTCTAACCTTCGCTTCAAGACCTCCTCGCAGCCCACAACAGCGGCCAAATGCCGATAAGGATCCTTCAAACTTTTGGAAACTGTTTGCCCTGGTCCTCTCCAATGCATCCGAAATGCAAACCCTGTTTGTGGTAGCTCAAGTGTTGCCTCCTCAATGGCAAAGTCTTCAACGATCTTGCGAGGCAACATATCTATTCACAACTGCTTAGCAAGGCTGGTGATGTCCGAACCGAGGCCCTCCCAAACGAAAACAAATGCTAGCCGGCGACAGGGCTCCAGCCTGAAACACGTGCACTGTGCAAGTGTCTGGCCTCATGCGAATCAAGAGGGTAACTCGGATGTCCAGCTAGAATACTCCCACAGGATTCGTCATTTGTCACGTCCCATGAACGGAATCCAACACCCAGCGAATCGACAAAGGTACATCTAGATGACGACAGTCTTCTGGACCCTGTCATGATGCTTGGGGACCAAAGGACCGAAGGGTCCACATGGATGACTGGAGTGTGAGTGTCTAGCAACCCCTTTTCTAGTAAGCCCCTCATTTTCGTTGATGATTTCAGTGGGGGTAGGTCCTACATGACTTGCTGGGGATATTGCCAACTGACCAAGTGACAGCCCCCCCTGAAGCAAGGCCCATAGAGTCCATGGAGGACTTGGCCAAGCCAGTGGTCAGGCACCAGTACATCCAATGTTCAGGTGGAGAAGCGGGGAAAACGACTGAACTGTCTGGCAAACAAGTCCTGAACCATGATCCGGCATAGGGCATCTGACGTCCCTGCTGGGTCGGCCCCATCTTCCGGCTGCTTACCACTGAATCGCAGAATATCAAGAGAGAGGAACAAACACGGCATGATCATCTTTGCCCCACCGGCCCCCGCATCGTCTTGCATCGCATGCTTCATTGCAAACCAAATACAAAAGCCAAGAGGAGGAAGAACAAGAGGACGACTCCACCAAGCAACAGTGACACCAACGGGTCACGCAAGCAAACAAATCTGGAACATGCGTGGAGGTCCTGAACCAAGCCGGCGAAAGTTCACAAAGGGCCGGTGAGTCAACACCCTCTTGAGAATTGCAGCCGTGGCTTGCAGCGCGCACACGAACATCGCACTTCCTGAGTGGATTGGCCAAAAACAAGTCAGAACTTCTTTACCACCAAAATGGTCTTCCCAAAAAGTTTTAAGTCCAGGAACTCAGGACGGCATCATGCCACTTGCATTCCACGCAGAAGGGAAAGCAATTCAAGTCAAATCCAAATTGCCTTGTCATCCTGATGGAAGGTTGGGCTTTTAGAGCCCGGTGCTTGCCCCACAGCCACCCTTGACTACCCATTGGCCAGGCCAGGACTCGAGACATGGCCCCAAAACAGCGACAAAACGGGCCAAATAACAACACACGCAAACACTGAGCATGAAGAGCTTGAGCTCGCACTGCCAAAGCATCCTACAAACGACCTATAGGTGAATTTGTTGATCTACCGTCATCCAACCTCTACCTGCACAGCATGCTGATTCCAATTTGATGCCTTCCAAGAAAAAGGAACCCTTTGTGGGATTGAAAGGCATCCAAAAAGAACACCGGCACACCTCTTGTTCTCACCTTATTTTCGGGCACAACATCGCAAAGCCTCTGCCTTGCACAAAGCAAGCCTGGGCTCCTTGCCATCTGCTCGAGCCACACAGCCTGAAGCTTTTGGAACAGCTTAAGCTCAGCTGCCTGGAAACAAAGGGGCAGCCAATTGGAACCTCAACTTAAACTGGTTGCTGAACATACTGAAAAAAGACTGAACGGGATCGCTTTGGACAACTGAGCAAGCCCGAAAAACGCCCACATCAAAAGGTGAAACGTTGGACCACCGAACCTGCATTCAACAGGCCCCTAAGCCAAAGAACATGGATCAAAGAAGGGTCATGCTCTGAACCACCCAACCGGCAAAGCGTGAATGGCTTCACAACATCAAATAAGAAGCCTCTCAACGGATGCAAGCTGGTGACGCCCCCTGTGATACCACCAGGGAAGGATGCAACGGTGTAAAATGAAAGGGGCCTGGAAAAGGGAACAAACATCCTTTTGGAACAAACAATTATGGACTATGTCTCCTGGCAAAATTGTCCCTCAGGCTTCCCTATCACAAGGGTGGGTTCGTTGATCAACACTTGGGCTATGCGAATTGAAGTGGCTCTTAACAAAAACCGCAAACGAAGCCTGAACGGCTGGAAGAGTGTTCTTGTAAGCTATTACCACCAAGGCCGTGTTCACTTTCATTTGTACGGGTGAATCACCATACTTCACCCGACCACTGAGGTTCCCCATGGAAGCCTTCATGTGGGCTGCAAACGTTGTGTGTGTATGTCCAGAAAACCCTGGGGGGTAAAAGGCTTTTAAAACAAAGGCCGTTACATGAACATCCTTTGTTTGACTAGCTGGGGGATGGGGGCCTGGGTGGAATTCCAACTGTACATGGTCAGCAACAAGCCTTTTCCACACCAAGCAAGACTTGCGAAGGCCTCAACGCTAAAGCAGCACATTTCTGCATCATCAATGGAACAATCATGGTCTTCCCGAAACATCCATTCAGCAAGACCTTTTCAAACCCAGCAGAAAACAACGCCAGCCAGGACGAATGCGAGTGGTTTTTCGCCTGCCAAATTTCCACGGCGTTTCACGGTCTTTCACTGCAAAAAAAGGGGCGTTCACGCCAATTTCACGGTATTTTCACGCTTTTCCTAGAAATCTCACAAAGATGAAGACCTTGAGCATTGACCAGCTTCAACATGTCTACATGGTTTTCGCGAGGCTTTGGAAAGCGTACTTTTCAGCCACAAGCACTGCAAAGGCATGTGGCTACTAATGCGGCCAACACAAAACTGTCAACCCAATTAAAAGCGTCCAGCTTGCAAACAAAGGACGTTCCCGAAATTTCACGGCCGCTTCCTAAAGGCCTTTCTTTTTAAGGCCCCCGAGCACTAAATGCCTCAACGAAATGCTGAAGTGTGCTTTGACGTATCCTTTCTCACGCCTGGGGCGGAGCCCGAAAGCATACTTGGCCGCTTGGCGCCAAACATGCGTCTCACCGTTTGGGGCCCACATAAACACACTGCAAACAAAAAACAAGCAAAATAGCAAACTAAGAAATACTCAAGCAAACACAAACAACCCAACACAAAACAACACACAAACACGGACTTTGCATATCAAAAGGTCTGTTTTCGGACTGATGTCCGCGCCGCTGTAGTGCGGTGGCCAGCCACTAGGAGAAGCTGAAGGGCGCTCGACAAATGACCATCGGCCAATTCGAATCCCACCTTGCAGCCATAAACGCCTTGCCACACACCCCAACACTTTCACTCCTGGAGTATTTGGGCGTGTCATGTTTTGAGAGTGCTTTGCTTGGATAGCTCAAAGGGAAACCCAAAGGAAGCCACCCCCCTAAGTACTTTAACACACTCACACGTCCTGTGTGCCTGACAGCTGACTCTAGGGCCACTTGCTTCAAGGCAACACGACTCTTGGCGAGTGCCTTGCCATGGCAAGGCACGCTCCACTGAAAGGCAGGTAACAGTTCCCTGGTATCTTGGCTCACTAGATTCACTTTCTGTTGAAGGCTCAATCCAGCCCCTGAACATGTCCAACAGCTTTTTGCCAAGCCAGACCTCTACCGCAAGTTCCGGCACAAGCGCTGCCCCATGTTGGGCGTCCCGGCGGCATCAGTTTTCCTCAGGACATGAGGGCATCTGTGCCGTGGGAATGTCTGCCCCTTGTGCGCCATGTGCGCCATTCCTTGTGCGGGACGTGGTCATGGCCCCTGTATTGGGAACCTACATTGAAGGCCTACAACTAAACAGGAGGTTGATGACCGTACCAAGCCCTTGCAAAAGCGTCTTTTGGTGCTTTGGTCACGGCACATCTGGATGGTGTTGATTAAAAACAAGCCAGCCAGGTTTGGGGGCGCATCAGGTGTTGCCTTGACAGGGCTCCCTGTGACTCTCCGCTGTGTAGCTAAAAACAACGGCAAATGAAGCAAATTGGTTCATGTTTGCTCACTCACTCGGACACTCAGCTCCATGAATGATTGTCTCGCTATGCATCCCCGCGACAATACTCGGTGACGTAAAGCCGAAAAGCCACCGGCGAGAACGAACATCTGACTCAGGTAAAAAGTGGCCATGCTTGCTAAAAATGGCCACTTGTTTCTCAATTGTGAATGCAAAATGACACTTTTGGTGAGCTTATAAATCATGGACATTGGCACTTCGTCCCTTTCTGTTCATTTTGCAAGTGATGCTGGGCCCCATTGCTCTGAAGCTGATGTTTTCAGATTTGCCTCTGCCTCCGTGCTCAAAACACTGAGTTGCCCTTTTTTTAGGGGGGGTGGACGGGTGACGGCCCAGGTTTTTACAGAAAGTCACCCTACAGCCGACATAATTGGCCCCAAGCCGTCAAAACAATTGGTCCTCTAAAGCCAACCTGGGGTTTGTGAATAATGGCATATAGCTGCACCAGGGATAGAGGGCCCTTAATTTCCAAGTGGATTGGCCACCCACAGTCAAAGCTTTTATGTCTCTCTGAAATGGTATTCCACACAAGTATAAATAATCACCTGCTTCTGTTGAAGTCTGGTGGGCCAAAATCAGCAGTGATAGATTCCCTTGAAAACCAACAGGGGGACAGAAAACATACACTTGAGCAAATGGAAGATCATAAATTCCAACGCGTCAGATCCGAGGACCCTCAAGGCAGGTTCCGAGCCGCCCCCCTTTATCTGAGGAAACGACCCATGAGCTCCGACAGCCATGGTGGGAATGCCACGGGCGCCTGAGCAAGCGCTGAGAAATGAAAATTGAAAATCACCCAAGCACCTTGGAGTCTCCACCTCAGCTTCCAACCCCAACAAAACGAAGTGGGTTTAAGCTTTGTCCAGAGCGAAGCGGACACTGAAACGATTTTCAAAGGAGATGCCAGTTTTGGGCCCCTCTTTGCGTTCCCAGGTCAATTGGCAAGTGGAGCTATCCTTTTTCAAACATTCCACAGGAGAACCTTCAGGTAGCCATGCCTGGGGCATAGGCTTCCCTGGGGCAGGGCATAAGCACCTACCAAATTCTGCATGAGAGAGCCTGACAAACAGAAGGGCTGCAACAGTGGCGAACAACAAGTACGGAGATTCTGGTACCGGGCACTGCAACGCTGCAACGCCGTGACCGCTTCATGGTACTCCTAGTGAGCGATGGATGCTTGAGACTGTCCCGCAACATCCCGCAGCAAGCTTTCAGCTCCCCAGGTTTGTCATTGAGAAAACCGTTCAATTTTGGAGATGTATCTCGATGGATTCAGCTGCAAGGTTAGTTCATACTGGACGATTAACTACACCCCAGGTGCTTTCCTCAACCCTAATCTCCAGCGGTCATGAGAAAAACAAACTTAACATGAGATTAAAAGGGCACCAGTGTTGGGTGCTTGATTTTAGGGGAAAACCGAGACGGCACACAAAGCACAACTGGACATTGCCAAGCCACAAGCAAAGCTGTGGTACAAATAGAGAATGCAGGGAAACCAAACTAGACCACGGTTGGCCCGAAAGCAGAACATCGCAAGCGAGGTCAGCCCAACGCTGCAGGATGCGTTCTTTTTCCCTACACTTCGTGAAGCAAGCGCGAGACAGCACCAGGCAAGGTGCTCTGCGCAAACTGGTCGGTGCAAGTTGGTCTGCGCAAGTTGCTCTACGCAAGTTGCACTGTGCAAGTTGCTCTGCGCAAGTTGCTCCGCGCAAGTTGCTCCGGCAAGTTGGTCCCTGCAAGTGGCTCCCTGCAAGTTGCTCTGTGCAAATTGCGCTCCCTGCAAGTTGCTCTGTGCAAGCTGCTCTGTGCAAGTTGCTCTGTGCAAGTTGCTCTGCGTAAGTTGCTCTGCGCAAGTTGCTCTAGGCAAGGCGCTCTGCGCAAACTGGTCGGTGCAAGTTGGTCTGCGCAAGTTGCTCTGTGCAACTTGCTCTGCGCAAGTTGCTCTGCGCAAGTTGCTTTAAGTTGCTCTGCGCAAGTTGCTTTAAACAAGCCATCGCGACGACCAGGGAGGAATCGAACCCGCGACCCGCCGGTTCCGGGAGCAGGCGCGCGAACCACGAGACAACTCCCGAGGACCAGTTCGAACAACAAAAGTCGCAAAAAACCTCGAGTTTTTGCACCTCGCCCACGCCGATTCCCGCAGAGGGTTGCGCGAGCACCGCAGAAATCGCAAAAAACCCACGGGTTTTTGCACCTCGACCACGCCGATCCCCGCAGAGGGTCGCGCGGGCATGTTGGAAATCGCAAAAAAACCATGGGTTTTTGCACCTCGACCACGCCGATCCCCGCAGAGGGTCGCGCGGGCATGTTGGAAATCGCAAAAAACCATGGGTTTTTGCACCTCGACCACGCCGATCCCCGCAGAGGGTCGCGCGGGCATGTTGGAAATCGGAAAAAACCATGGGTTTTTGCACCTCGACCACGCCGATCCCCGCAGAGGGTCGATTTTCGTGTAGTGTCGTCGGCACTACCCCGCCGCCCTAAGAAGAGATTTTAACTCCTCGCAAGTCAATTGCACTTGACTCCTTGCACTTGCACTTGCACTCCTCCTTACACTTGCAACTTGCACTTGACTCCATGCACTTGCAACTTGCACCTGACTCCTTGCACTTGCAACTTGCACTTGACTCCTTGCACTTGCAACTTGCACTTGACTCCATGCGCAGCTCGCAATGACTCTCATGACTCCTTGCAATGACTCCTTGCAATGACTCCTTGCAATGACTCCTTGCAATGACTCCTTGCAATGACTCCTTGCAATGACTCCTTGCAATGACTCCTTGCAATGACTCCTTGCAATGACTCCTTGCAATGACTCCTTGCAATGACTCCTTGCAATGACTCCTTGCAATGACTCCTTGCAATGACTCCTTGCAATGACTCCTTGCAATGACTCCTTGCAATGACTCCTTGCAATGACTCCTTGCAATGACTCCTTGCAATGACTCCTTGCAATGACTCCTTGCAATGACTCCTTGCAATGACTCCTTGCAATGACTCCTTGCAATGACTCCTTGCAATGACTCCTTGCACTGTTATGATGATGATTCCTTGCAATGACACCTTGTCATGACTCTCATGAGAACAACTCAAGCGAACCCAGCGGAAGAACCCTTCGCCATGCTTTCGGGAAAAACAAACCGCGACTGGATCCAAAGAATCCTCCAATATGGGGAAATTGAAGGGTACAACCGGATGTTGGCTCGGCAGCCCTTGCCTGGCCATTGGACGGGCAGCTGCAGCCCTCTTTGACCTCGAGCGACTCGAGAAGCAGCGGGAAATAGCAGCTGCAAACTGTTCGAGAGTGACGGGTTCCAAACATGGCAACGCCCAAGGAAACCTTGGATTGGAGGGGCAAGACCTCGAGGTTTCCGCACACTTATGCAGATCTCCGCGGGCATTCATCGGGCGTACTGCGGTTTTGTACTACGGGCGAACGAGCAACCATAAATCCAGTGCGGCGTGAAAACACCGCTTTTTCCCAAAACAACATGTGTTCAGTCGTCCGTTCCGCACACCATTCTCCTTTCAAGTTCTGGATTGAATTTATGGCTCGAAACCTTTCGCTCCGACTTGTTGCCTTTGTGGATACGAGGGCTCCAGCACCGGAAACGTCTTTGACACCGGCAAGATCCGCGCGCCAAAATGGGCGCCCTGGCCAGCCGAGTGCCTGAGGGCACGCCTGAGCTCGAGAAAGAAGTTGGAAACATGCTTGGGGTTCAATTCCTCGAAAGGCCAAAAACCAAGTTGAAATCCCATGAGATGAGCCACTAGTTGTTCAACTCCTGGAAGGCTGCAAGGCACAAGGAAATCCTTTGACATGTTCATCCTGACAGTTTCAGTACACTTAGCCAGGCCCAGACCCCTCGCGACAACTTCTTATTGCTTTCGTTTAAAGGGGGGATGTCGGAAACCCACAAGGGCAAACATGCAAGACACGGCACAAAGGCCCCAATGATTTCAATGCGATGTTGCCACGACTAGCTTCAACACCACGTCCAAGGGCTGAATGCCTGTGAAACATCACGCTTTCGGCAGGCGCAAACGCGGCAGTATACAGGCCTCATGGTCGAGGAACTTTCCAAAATTCGCATCTTCCAAGCCCCACCCCTTACCCACTTCGCTTCCCGTCTAGAAACCAGTCAAATCCCTGGACTCCGGTCAAATTCCCCTTAAGATCGGTCAAATTCCTCTTCAGAGACCCTCTAGAAATCTGTCAAATCCCCTCTAAAAACAGGTCCAACTCCGGTCAAATTCCGAGAGAAACGGGCAAAACCCCGCTGAAACCAGGCAAATTCCCTTGAATTTGCACCTTCGCTTTGCCCGCCATTCTGTAGCTCTCTGCGGCTCTGGCCGAGGTGGGCAACGCGACGCGTTTACAATGAGTACTGAAAGCCTTAGACACATTTCCCAGAAACCAGTTGTTGAGGAGGGCCACTGTGCCCTGCGTTCAGCATACCTGTTGTTGGGCTTGTTCTCAAGTGAACCTAAAAGGGAAACCAAAACAAACACTCACACACACACACATTCTGCAAACTACCAAGCTGCTCCGGAGAAAGCGTTCCCACCTCGCCCCGGGTAGAACATGCCAAGTCTGAGTAGCCCACTTTCTCTGATCAGGGTGTAGAACTGAACCCGGTCCTCCTGAAAGGGGCGTCGCAATACCAATCCTGTAATTACTGGGGAAACGGCGTTCCCACGGTTGATTTGACGTGGCGAAGGCTTCTGTCAAAGAAGTGGGAAACTAATCAGCCTCATTTCCATAGGCCTGGCAAGAACCCACACTCTCGGAGTCTACAAATCTGCGGACAATCGGCAACGACCAAACGTGCTCCGCTCTCCCTCTCCCTCTCCCTCTCCCTTTCCCTCTCCTCTCTCCCAACCCATCCATCTATCTATGTATTGCTGTATCTAACTGTCAATCCGCCTACCTACCTACCTACCTGCCTACTTACCTACCTACCTACCTACTTAAATATCAACCAATAGTTCTATCTATCCATTTGGCTCTCCGGAGGTCTATTCAACCTATCAACCAATAGTTCAATCTATCTATCCATCCTGTAGATCTGTGTGCCTCCCTATCTAAGTATGTTATTTGTTTATATGTACATGTATCTTGCCTATGATGTCTGGGTTTCTATCTGGCTTAGCTACGTACATGTCTTAGGTTCGTAAACCTGTATCCTCCCACCGTTATCTTGAATTAACTTATCGTACCTGTCGCGCCACATGTATCTACCTATTTGTCTACCTACCTATGTCTATCCGAAATCAACTAGTGACAAATCCTAGCTACCTTGTCTATATGTGTCTTTCTTGCATGTATGCATTCACTATCTTGTCTATAGGTCTACCTTGTCTTGTCGTTTCTTATCTTACCGTGTCTTAACTATCGACCCATCTCAGGTCAGCATGCAATTTCTGGCTGTTTCTTGAAGTTTGCACCTCATTAAACGGTTGCCACAAGGAAGCCAAAAGGAAATGTAAGCACCCAGCTTCAGATTGGCTGTCGCCTGTTGACGCTTGTGCAGGCCCTACGTATGGGCACCGTAGATTGACAAAAGTTGGATAGTACGTGGGGGAAGCAGGCACTTCATGCAAATGCTGTTCATGATGCATGCACCCGCATTGGTTGGAGTACATGCTGAAGTCAGTCTGACAAGAATTGATCGCGCTCCAAAGGCACCATGCCTTTCCTGAGAGGCCTTTTCAACTGCTCACAGCAACAGTCAATGCGGCACGAGCTGACCTAGGTGTCCTGATGGAAAAATGGATGGCACTGATAAATGGCTAAAACCAAACTGAAACCATTCCATCTCAGTTCAACAATTGGACCGAACAAGGACACCCATCAAACTTAGCCTAAGCAAAGCTGGATAAATCCACGCCCAAGTGCCCCCAGTGCACAGCCGCTGCCATTCCTTTTGGGAGTTGCGGATTGTCCTCCGGATCCTTGGAGTCTAACACATGCAAACAAAGACACACCTGTACATATCATATATATATATATATATTATATATATATATGTGGTAGCAGCCATCGACATGCAAACTCATGAACGCATAGTTCCCCCAACAGCTGGAAGCTATGGTCTGCCGAGATAGGATTTTAGTTTGGGTTCCGGAGGGTTACTGGCTGCTGGAGATACCACCAGGGATACTTCTTGGGGGATAGCATGCATGTCTACATAATATGTAGCATATGTATCTATGAAGACATCTATGTAGATAATATATCTATATGAATAACATACATAATATATATATAGGGATATATATATATGTATACATGCATATAACGGCATACATCTTCAATTCTATATGAACATGTCCACAAGTGCGTATATACAGCGCTATGTAAATAAATATATATGTATATACATGAATGCCATTAATTTTACACCACGCAGGATTCAGGCGTCTGGAGGAAAATCACAGCACAAGTATCCATCCCCTTTAACCCACCTACGTTCTCCTTATGGGCGAAGTGGCACCCATCACCGAGTTGCAAACAGGCTGATTCAAAGTCAGGATTGGATCCTCAGGCTCACATTCCTGAGGCACTTTGGCCCCTGAATTCGCCAAGCGAAAGCTTCTCGCACCGCACCGGACACCAGGACACCAAGCGGCTTTGCAAGAGGTCGGCTTTCGGCAAGTGAGGCATGCTAGTACATGTCCGGGACCTAAATTAGTTGATCCACAACTAAAAAACCGTCGTGAAGAAAACAATCTCTCCAGAACTACGCAGAACATACACGCTTCGCAGGGTACTTACACTTTGAAATGCAGCACACCTGTGTTCCTCCGAATGTTTGGCTTCATATGGGATCCAACGGCCACGACGAAGCCACGAAGGTGTGTTGATATTAGCCAATCTGGGTGTCCCTCCGGGATGAACCCGACAGGAACATCCCTGGTGTGCACATATCCCTCCCAGCGAGCGGATATGTCACAACAATGCCACATAGAGATCTGAGATGTGTGTCTTCGTGTTAGTGTGCAGAGAGGTGCGAAAAGCATGCGGGCCGCTCCACCTCTTGTCTGCTCCAATGTTCCTCAAATCACTGGGACTTCCATTGCCAACCCGGCATGTCTCAGTTGCCCGGCAACCCGGAAAGCAGAAAAGGAATGCGAATTTGTTTGGGGGGCAAAATGTTTGAGAGGAAGAGACGTTGGGGCCCCGACTATCCCGAAACTCCTTTCCGGGAAATTCAGGGAGCTTTGGATTTCCCGTGATTTGTAGTGAAGAACGCGCCACGCGAAAAGGGATTCAAAGGGGCCAACCCTGATCCACTGGATGTCGGGTCCGTTGACGCTCTGGCGGTGAAACCTCCGTGAAACTTGTCCGTCTGCTTTTGACGGGCGCGTTCGCGTTCGCGCAGCGCGTCAGCCGCTCACTTCGAGCTGGCCGAAAACCTGCATGGGGCTTTTGCATCCAAACCCATCTGTTTGGGTAAGACCTTCTCACACCAATGAGCAAACCAATTGCACGTCCACACCGTGGCTGCCGGTTCGTGGGAAAACACCAAAGCCGGTGACATTGTCCCAAGTCTCCGCCCACACGTGTCCTTGGCTGATCCCATTTATTTGTGAATTACACACATTCGAAATAAGGAATCCCCAAGTGTGGGACCTTTATCACAGCTGAGCCCGTGTTCACCCCAGGTGAGCTGGCTCGATTGCTAAAAAAAGAGAACGTGGCGCGTGGCGTGCGCGTGGCGTGCGCGTCGGGCCTAGGAGCATCTTCGGAAGCACTCCGGCTTGTCGGGTGAGCCGATGGCATCCTGGCGACAGCAAATGTTGGTTCAAGGCGAAACCAAGGGAAGCCCAACCAGTTCTCTGCCCTCGAGGTTTGGTCATTTTTGAAAGTTGGACAAACGAACAAGCGGGGACAGGGAGGGAGCGGGTCCCGATATGGGGGGATTCCCTTGGCGCCATGATATCAAACTTGGTCGAGTGCATTTAGCCCGCATCGATGGTTCCCCCTGTATCCCTGCTAGTTGGTTTCCCTGTGAAAGGTTTGGAGCAGCATATCGTGGAAACTGCCTGCCTTCAATGGCGAAACACGAAATTAAACTGACAAACACATGTGAAAAGGTTGTGGGGAACTGGGGGAAGCTGCAAGTTGAAGAAAATGCTTACCTTTAAGGGTGATGACAACCAAAAATAAAGGCGTGGCATAGCTGTGCATCGAACGGCATACCTTCGAAGGTAACGGGAACCCAGGATGAATATATTGTTCATTCAACAAATGCATACTTTTCAAGGTGATGGGACCCCGTGAATCATGATAACAACGGAAGCTGCAAAAATGACACCCAAAAAAAGCAGGCTTTCATATCAAGGTGATGGGAATCCTGGCATCTACGAATGCAGCCGAAGCTGCAAATTCAAAAAGATGCATAACTACGTCTAAAGGTAGCGGGGACCCAGGATTGACACAAAGCACTGAGACTCTAACATCCGGAAATAGTGCTTACCTTTAAAGCTACTGCAAAACCTGGGTTCCGGCAACGGACGCTGCACATGATAAGCAAGGCAAAAACAACCAGCTGAATGATAATTTTACATGCAGTGCATGTCTTTTAAATTGATGGAAGCCCAGGGTCAATATAAAGCAACCGAATGCGAAAACAACCACCGGAATACTATGAATCAAGCGGGTTTCCACCGATGCCAGCAAAGGTAAGCGTTTGTTTCCATATTAGCCCTTGTGTTGCGTGCAAAATCCGGGTTGTCCGTCACTTTCGGGGAACACCCTAGTTGATCCGTCAGGTTGATTCAATGTTAGCCTTTGTGCAGTCATTGAGACTCGGTACGTACATGGGTCAACGCCGTTTCTCTGTACGTCATCTGCAGGAAAAGGCGGATGCAGGCTCCTCTTTCTGCATTGACCGTGTGAACAAGAACTTGTCCAAAAGCATGCAATTAAACAGATGGAAGATTATGAAAGCAATGGGAAGGACTCGCACGCACATTCCATGTTGATCAAAGGTCATTGCAGTGCCCCTGCCAGGGGCTGCGTCACGTCTGAGTATTGGCCAAGCCCCAAACGCAGCCCCGATTCCCGAAAGGACGTGAAGTTTCAACTTATCTTGCCCTAAGTTTCCCTACAACCCTCCCCCCCCCCCCGTTTTTCGAGAGGCGCAAATTCGGCTCCGGAAAGCAAACAAACAAGTATGCCCGGGCGAAAATCCCCAACAACAAGCTCGAACCCCCCAGGAACTCTCCGAAACCTCCCCTGAAAGCTGCTCCGAACCACTCCACAGCAGAGCTCTACCCGGCTCTACCCCGCTTCGCCTGGCTCCGGCAAATGGAGATCTTCCAAAGGCTGCAGGTCCCCGAGCCGTGGTTGTACTGGAAGCCCCGGCAGCCTGGCGGATCTGATGAACATCTATCCGTATGCCAAATGACTTGCCGGAAATGAACCTCAAAACGCCCAGGGCACTTGGGGTCTTTGACCACTTGTGCAGATGCAAGCACCCGAAAAGGATGCCCAGTTGGAATTGGCAAGGTGAGCTTTGAGAGGTTTGAAGAGCACATGTGGAGGATGGAAGTATCAGCCACTTCTGCTCGTGGTGCGGAAGGTTGACAAGCAATCAGAAGGGAATCGCAGGCTTGCACAAAAACAAGCAGGCAAT